AACAGGTTCTCTCAGGAGCTACAAGCAGTTCCAAGTGAACGGGTTCGTTTCGTGGCAGTCTGCAGTAATATAAAAAAACTGGCAGTGTTTAAAGAAAATCTGACATGACCGCTAACAGTACGCCAGACAAATTCAATTACAGCAACCCACTTTAAAATTCAACATTCAGTATCATTTACTGATGAGTAAAGTTTCGATTAATTTATCGCAATTTTGATATCACAAGTTTGTACAGCCTTTGCAAACTTTTAAATTTGATAATCTTTATTCCTAAAAGTACATGAATACATCAACACTGGCACACAATAGGAGTAATGCACTATTAACCATTAAACATTAAAACTTTCTCCGCACCCGCAGGTACTTTTGATATTTGGGTTTCTGAATACAAACTCGGAAGAAAGTTTCGTTTCTACGTAGTCCATTTCACTCCCTAGCAGGGTCATTTGTGCCTTGATATCAAGGAACAGTTTAACGCCATCACCGATTTTCACTTCTTCGTCAGAATTTGACTCTTGCTTCGCGTACTCAAGGGTATACGTAAGTCCATTGCATCCCCGTTGTTTAACACCGACTCGCAGTCCACGGGCTTCGGGGTTTGTGACCATTAGGTCCCGAATCTTTTGAATTGCACGTGGTGTTACCGTAATCGGTGCCTTCAGCGGAACAAGCCGCCTGGCAGCTTTAACGACTTTTGTAGACAATCTTCCGGCCATTCAGTAAGACCGCAGGTCATTACGATGCATGAATATAATTTAAATTGGCAGCCATATAGCCGCGATAAAAACGAATTCTGTAACAAACAGGTTTAAATTGACATTAAACTAAATACAGTAAATCAGACAATAGAATCCGGAATGGAACGAAACAAAAAACACAAAACAAATCGATATTCAGTTTACTTTTCGACATGAGCGTTGAAGAACTTGTGGTATTCATTTCTTTAAAAATATACCGGGCAACAACCGTGAGCTCTACGATGTTATTAAAAGATTGGAAGATAAAACTAGCAGTTACGAGCACAATTTAACGCTGAATCACAAGAATACAAAAGTATATGCGTATCAAAGGTCTGGAGACGTCGTAGCAGTACCTGTCTCCCAGAAGTTTAAAACTCCGCTTCACCGGTTGCCCGATTGAACACAAAATCCTTCCCGTTTAAATTCATAATTCCGTCTTTAAATATAAATTTCCATTTGTTCCGAGTTCTTGTCACCTGAAACAAGTAAATTATTTCTCTTGATATAACACACGAAAAATCAGCAAATGGAGAAGAATTACCTAAACCTCAAGCATTTAAGAAAAAGCATAATTGGATACTTTAAAAATGTCTGACTTTTGAGAAGCTTCGTGTTCACTGTAGACTGTTTTGTTATGAAAAAATAGAGTTGCTTCTCAACACGAAGTGTCAAAAGCAGTAGTACCAGGTCAAATTGACTGACATTATGAGCAACGCATTAAGAGCTCATCAAGGAAACAGCAAGTAACGTGTAACCTTTTTCACGCAGGTACGATGTTGATATGTCAGGATGGCGTAGAACGTATTACAGTTGCGTACAGACATTAATGGGTAGGGGAATCCAGCGAATGTCAAACTCACAGTCTAACGAAAGATTTTCTTATGATGGCATACACTTATGCTCTGACACTGATCCGGCGAAAGACATTTTAAATTTCCTGTTACTTACAGAAAAGTCTCGGTAACTTATAAGATTAGGCAGTCATAAAAGGTGCACTACCTTTTCATACTGACATGCTACAACACTGTCGGCTTCAAAAAGTTCATTCGCATCCTCATTGCTAACGTCATCATCAGAGTTCAACGGCTCCTGTAAAATTAAACATGTTACATAACTGATTGATATGAAACGACAATCACGCAATAACTAAAGACTTACACCTTCCTCAACCGGACCTAGGTTCTCTGATGTCTCTTCTTCTTCCAAAATTTCATCTACCTCTTCATCGTCGCTTAGACCACCGGATCCATCTACCTGGTATATTCGCTATAAAAATTGCTTATTAATTTACAAATGCCATGACGTTAAAAAATTTACTTTCGTAGTAATAGACCTCATTCAAACAGCTTTTAAGATGCTTTGTTCGTTCAAGAAAACAGCTATTTCTTCTCGATTATAGTTTGAAGTAAATATGTTGAAAATGACAGGCTTTATCCACAGATCAAGAAGATTATGCTACAGGTGGAATTGAATTAGATACATTAACCACTATCTCTCTACAGGTGAAATTTTCTATCTTGGTTCTAGGTTCCCCACATTCTTTTAAATATATCTATCATGTATAAAGCTAATCATATAGTTTCCCCAGTGACCTGTTTCGTGTTTGCAGCTTTTCCGTCGAATTTGTTTGAAACGTGATATAAATGCAACATTTGCACGAAAACAGTCATAAATACCGATGATCTTCACACCTAGCGAACGAGACCATACCCTGTGCCGAAAAATATCGTAATGCTTTGTATATTGCAACAATAAACTGGATTCATTCATAATGAATAACGAACACCTCAAAATCTAGGGAAAATAACTTAATGGCCGCGGCCAGCATGATGTGAGGATATAATTTAAAATTGCACACTGCACTGTTAAGATATGAGAACTAACGCCGTAACGATTACTGTGATTGATGCTTGAAAGCACTATTTAAAGGCGTCGTTCTTTCATACTAGTCAATACCTACGAAAACATGACCGCAAGAAACAACGTACATGAGGCACTCTTGGTCCCGTAGGCAGTGTCTGCGTAAATACTGCAGTTGAACTGTTTAACCCGTCGATGTGAGAAAGATTCGGCTTTGACACCGAAGTTACCTGACTTGGACCGGCCTGGCATCCGGACAGCACGTGAGAGGGGATCAGTTGTGCAGATATCTGGTTAGAGTTGGAAAGCAGGCGTACGTTACCGGCTGCAACACAAGGTAAACACGTTGTTAAACGAAGACCGGTGATAGATTATTGATCAGCGTTACCTGACAACGGCTGTATGAGGAAGCTTTGAGGATTTCCCGCGAGAACACCATGTTGCAATGCCAGATTCGTCGCGGATATAGTTTGCGGAGAAAACGGCACAACGGGAATACGTATTCCAGTTCCAGCTGGCACTAAAAGAAAACAGTCGAGAAAACGGCAAATAAGAGAAACAAAATAACATATTTTGTGCATTTGAAGCTACTTTCTGATGCTGAAATAATGACAATCGTAGCAACATCACAACGCAACACAGTGTCATCCACTGTGCAAAAATGTCTTGCCAGTCTGCGTCATTTCTCAAGTTTTCGTGCAGCCGACATGGTGTGAACGAAGCTCTGCTCAGCCAAGTATGTACTGTTTCGCGTCTTTTTGGTGTGGTGTCGAAATTACAGCCCTGTCGTGCTATTTGCCTCAGACAGCTACCGTTCTTCCTCAAGAACTGGCAAAAAAGTCCTAGTCTGCTTTTACGTTTAATTAACGAGCAATCATTATATACCTGTTTGGATTAAGACTCGTTCGCTGCGCTTGAAATCTTTCCAGAAGATCTCTAATAGTCACCTGCAACAACGCACCTTAAATTCAACAACGGACTTAACATAATGATTCCTGGACGAAACAGATTTCGCACTTCTAGGCTATGACAGACCGAAATAAAAACTCGATAAACCTCAATTCAGTGAATTACTGGATGTTCCGATCTCGCTATATGCTGGGGAGTCCTGCCATGAAAGCTCTTGCAATTGCCCCTTGAAAGTTAGCGAAATTCACATTTGCAACCCACTACTTTCTTAGAGCCAAGGTATGCTGAATTCGGCGCCATCTACTGTATTTTTGACTGGAATGTTAACTTTCTTTACCGGCTGTTATAATTACGCTGAACATGTCAAATGAATAATATGTAGCTGCAGATCACAGATTTCTGATTTTGATTGATCAATCTCCAATTTTTATTCTGTGCAGCTTCAATTTTAGAACGCAAGGATGATTTACTGAATAACGCCGATGACAGGAAACAGCCTCTTTCAAGAGGAAACTAGTCAGTAGGATGATCAGCCACTGACAGTCGGACTGTTGCATTCATACTGCTGGAAATCCATGTAATTAGATACAAAAGCAGGTTATTTTACTGTAGCACAAACTGTTAAACGACTTGAGATAGCGTAAGATAAGGAGTAAAAAAAGGAAAAACCAGTGATGTCCAACTTTATATGCATTTTTACTGAAGAATACTAAAATATTTTTATGCAAAAAAATGAAACCTACCGCCAGTGATGACACTACCGCGTACGACCGGTGATACGTTTTCATGGAAAGAATCGATTGCCTTTGTAGCCAATACTTTCGTTTCCCACACCTGAATTTGAACTTTGAAGTTACAAATCAATATTGCACATAAACATTAACCTAATAACTGAGTCACATAAATTACAGCAAAAATTCCATAATTAGACAAGGTATGTATTTCAACCCTCACAAAATTGATAAGCATTACTTTACAGCCAGCCAAAAATAAAAATACGCACAAGCCTAACAATTTTCAGAGAAAAGTAATACATTACGGGCTATTACAATGGAGAGAATAAGAGAAAATCCAAAAAAGTAGCGGGCAGCATGTTTCCTAAACCAAAGAATTCAAGCATCTTGGTTCCACTCCAAGAAAATGAAGAAATCGACAGCAAATTAAGAATTTTGTTATTTTTAAAGCGTAGTTCAAATGGAGAGAAGCAGGTGAAGTAATAGCGACAAAAAAATGCCCCTAGAACTGAAGGGAAAAGTGTACAGAACGACAGTAAGATCAGTGCTTCGGTACGTAGTTAAACGCTGGGCATCCCTAAAGAGGCATGAGCAAATGTTCGGCTCGATAGAAGTGCCAATGCATGTGCGATGCCAGCAATAAGGAACATATATAGAACAAATTTAAGAGGCACTTCAGGTGTAGTACAAATTTATGAAAAGCTGCTCGAAAAAAGGCTCCGCACGTTGGTTCAGCCATGAAAAATCACCTGATGAGTACGTTAAAAATGGTCTAAAAGCTGAAACTACCCGGGAAGAAAAAAAAGGGTGCCAACAAATCGATTTCACAATGAACGATAAGAAACTGTAAGGACTGACAGAAGACAGCAAAACGTGGAGGCAGCTGACTCAAAAAGCAGACGTCTGCTAAACAGGACAGGCCATAAAAACGAAGCTCAATATAATATTATACATAAAAATAACCATCGATTTTATGGGCATACTAACAAAACTTTCTTTACGATGACTACCATACTCAAATTTACCTCCTAGCTACTTAAACATATAAATTATGCACTAGTTGCCAACTCCAAAGGGCGATCTCGTATTTACATCATAGATGGCGAATCACGCTTGAAACACAACATCTTGTAAAGCAACGAAACAACTGGAATGTATTGTTGCAACTTTTATTCGTCGCATCAGGTCACGTGAAACCGCCGTTAACAGCATAACCTTGATTTACGGAGTCGTTTAATTGTTTCACCGGCGGCATATTCCATGATACAGCATCAGCATTCGCGTGGTGGAACAACCAATGCCGATCAACTAATGAGAACCATATACTCCGAGACAGAGAAGCTCGTTATATCCAAGTAATTCTGCCGGGAAAAGACAATGCCTTCAAATTTACACCAAGAGATTGCGGTCACCATCTGAAGTAATTCCTGAATGAAAGAGCATATGAACAGTTTGCTGCGGGATCTTCCACCCTTCAAATTCAGACCACCGGTTCTTAAACGGGAACGAAGACGGATTATTTATGGGAATTGATGAATCAGTAGCACAGCGCCATTTGGATATTAAAAACTTTGAACTAGACAGGGGAGGCATAGAGGAAGTCGTTCGGCTCTGTGCGATTAAGTTATCGGCTAGAGCAAATACACGGCTTGAAATTTTCTTAATAACCGCACCGACCCATTGTGATTCGGTGCACCAGTGCAATGACGAATACGATATTGTCGAGTGCAATAAACAAACACAGAATGGTAATATGGTACGGTAAAGCCAGGCCTAGTGATACATGACTGAGTTATATTTTATCTGTGCGCTGAAATGCTACAGTTCTCATTAATCCAACTGGTGGTTGAAAAAAAAATCATCACAATATATTAACCATAAATTTAGGAATGCTTAATATATTGTTGGTTTCCCCACATCCTAAACAAAATCAGATTGTGTGACTGGTGATGCGAGAAACATACATTCTAAAAGTTAGGCGCGACAGTGGCCTGCTTCAAACAGATGCCTTTGTCAATACTGTGGCCTAAGAGATGCCACCGGTTTCCTAGGCGGTCGTCCCTTGACGACTTACATATGTTTATGTGACAATAATCCGTAAGAACAAAGTAGCCAAAATGAACTTTCTAGAAATCCATCTCAAAATGCCTTGATTTTTCTGAAATAACGCTCTGACAAAATGTATGAAGACTATTTCAAATAGACCTATTCTAGCCGTTTTATCTGTCAAAATGGGTAATGGAAACCCTCATATTCATGTTGCAGGTACAGAAATTTTGTCCTTTGATTATGATCTCTCGCCATGACAGGATACAATCACTGCCGCTGAATGAACACTGACTCGGTGCGTGGTAAATGCACGAACACGGCAAAACTTTAGCAAGGCAAAACACGCTGCATTAATCTGCCCAACAGTGCCACGATGAAATACATCTCATGACATTTCGAAGGGCACTCTTCTCATGCACAGAAAGATCGACCGTGAGAAAGAGCAGCGACAAATATCTAACAAGTTTTGACAAATCTGACTTCGCCATTTCTTTATTTCGTTCCTGATCCAAATTCTTCATGCTCATCTCGTTCTGTACAGCTCTCCGCATTTGCATACAAACAAAAATTTATCGTTCTTTATGAAAAAATCACCTCCAACGCAAATATACAGTTTTCGATACCACCCAAAAAAACTTCTCCGGAATTACGCCACGCAGTTGCTCGGTTCCCTTTAAGCAGACTATGGCTTCATAGTATCACAGCACCCGCAGTGCACATATGTACAACAGCATCACTGCGCGGGATCGAACAAAAACCTGTTAGTTGAAATGAGACTATATACAGACGCCAAAAGGAACAAAATGAATTACAAAGCTCATTGCCTTAGGTAGAGATACACATGTGACAGGAATATATTCATATGTGAAGCTTTCTGAAAACACAACGGCGTCCCTTCTTCAATACAAATCATAGTCCGATGAAACAAAAATATGTACGATAAAGTATAATTTTTATCAACAAACTAGACGTGGATCTGACAAAATACTGAAGGCGTTCGTCGCCCAAAACAGCTACGTATTGATGGTTTACCTGCTTGAGCTCTTGTAAAACTTGTTCATCCACGCCTTCATCCAAAAATGCTTCACGAACACTCGTGCAAACTTCTTCGATTACTCCTTTGTATAGCCGGTTCTAAACATCAACAGTTAAACACCGTATACAAAGATCATACATCATTATCCTCTGAATCGTAACAGAAGGACGTTTACACTAAAGTTCCAAATAACGAAACAAGTTCACACATACGCTTAGATCGCTGGAAAACCATTTTTAACAGACAAGGTTTTCAGTACCACCGGAGTGGAACGGAACGCAAATACAAATGTAAAGAATAACATGGCCAAATGACGCTCTCTATCGGTCCCTGCATGCAGGGATTTTTTTGTTCCTCTCATTTAGTTCGATCAAGGACAGCGAGTTCAATCTCTGATTTTCAGGTGTTCTTTTGGTTCCATACCTTCAAGAGTGTTGCCCACAATTAAGCTTCGGGCATCGACGCTAAGACGACAGCAACGGGTCGTAATAACGACCAAATAAAGTGCAAACTATTCTGTAGCCGTGAAGAACTGTTATGAC